AGCTATGGAACTGACTGCCTCAAAAATGATGATATAAAAATTATTATTGTTGTTGTTACACTGAATAACCCAAGTATCTAGGACCTCAGAGCAGAATAACGGCGTATCTTCAGATCCTGACCACGAGTCCTTCAGTGAAGTGGAGTCAGAGACAAATGACAACTATGTAAGAAATTTCCCACAAACTTGTTTAAATTTATTTTAAAACACCTTTCCAGGTGATTGTAGGGATGCAAAAAATACAACCACCTCTGTTTTTTTCTTTGTGTTTGTTTTCAGAAGACTGAAGTTAAAGTTGTCCGTCACGTGGAATTATACGTATCATTGGACGAGATTCCAGAGAGATTTCATAAGAATCCTAAAGATCCTATCTTCTATTTTCAACGAAACCTTAAAGGTGACATAACTATTTCACAGTAAATCAAAGTTAAGTTGACATTAAAATTACAGACAATTAAATTAAATCAAATTTTACTTTGTAACAGAGACTATTGTTCACCCAGTGGACATGAAAGAAGCCAATACTCTAATGACTAGGTTAATAGACATTGGTATGCAGAGTGGAGATCCGCTTGAGGCGTTTCGAAGGCAACTGCTCCATGTAAGTCCATAACAATGAAACATTTGTTACATCTGGCTCTTGGTAAATAATGGTGTATATTTCTCTGTCACCTTTCAGATTTATGTACCCTGGTTTACTGCTGAAGCAAGACCAACAGCTGCCCCAAAGAAAGCTCCTACTGATCTGCCACTTAAGGGTCGTCATTCGGTGCTCACCAGTGTGCACAAATACCTCGGAAAGCTCAGTCAAACAATCCGACAGATTCATGCTCAAGGTTTGTTTGGTTCACAACAAGAAAATAAAGGGAATGAAAACAGAATGTATTATTGAGGGCCAGAAATCAGGAAATAATTTGAACTGAGTAAAAAAAAAAACATTTTCATCATGATGAATTTATTCTGAGTACAGTTGTCATGACTCGAGGTAAGTGCCTAACCCAAGACATGCAGAATCAGACTCGACGAGTAGGTTGAGTAAAAGAAAAGTTCTTCATTCAAAAAGCGGGAAAAAAAATAGCACAGGGAAGTCCTATGGGAGATGAGCGGTGCAGCTCGAGTCCATGTAGCGCTTGGGGTGAACAAGGGAGGCGTGAAAGCCGAGGTGAGTGCTGGGCAGAGGGTGAGCAATCCGGGATGGGTGAGGTAGCAGAGAGGGACCAGACAGGAACAACGGAGGAGGATGGGACGTGGTGTATGTAATCCAGAGTTCGAAACAGCGAGGGTGAGGCAGGTTGTGTGAGGATCCTGAGGGAAGGCAAACAAACACCAGATGTAAGGGGTAGTCCCAAAACGTAATCCACAAATCAGTCCGAGGTCAAAATCCAAGTAATCCAAGAGCGAGTCAAAGCAAACAAACAAGTACAAATGGCTGTATTTGATGTAGCGCCTTCTAGAGTCCTGGAAACCCCCAAGGCGCTTTACAACACAATCAGTCATTCACCCATTCACACGCTGGTGGGGATGAGCTACGATGTATCCACAGCTGCCCTGGGGTGCACTGACAGAGACGAGGCTGCCAAGCACTGGCACCACCGGTCCCTCTGACCACCACCAGCAGGCAAGGTGGCTTAAGTGTCTTGCCCAAGGACACAACGACAGCGACAAACTGAGCGGAGCTCGAACCTGCAACCTTCCGATTATGAGGCGAGCACTTAACTCCTGTGCCACCGTCGCCCACAAAAGTACAAGTACAAGTGGCTGGGGCTACCTAAACTGGTGCAATCATCCGGCGTTGTGAGGTGCCTCCATCCTCCTTTTAAACCCGAGTTCCTGATTGGGAATCTCCTGCTGCTGCAGCCCCCTCCGCTCCTCACCTGTGGGAAATCAGCTCAATAACAGTTAAAGTGGAGATGGTGTCACTCACCTCGGCTCGGGAACATGACAACAGTGTCTTTGCCCTAGGTGAAATTGTACTCCAAATTCCTGACCTGGACCTGGAGCTGGAGGTGAATGTCCTGCTGAACAGTCCTGAGATAGTAGAGAGGTTGGAGCAATGTGTGATGAACTGGCAGACTCAGATTACCACCATTATGGAGGAACAGCAAAGCAATCAGCCAGAGGTTTGCAATGATCCATCATTCATAAAATTACAACATAACTGATCGTTTCAGGGACTGGAGCACATTTCATCACTCACATGTCAAGAAAAGAACATTTTTCATTCCTCTAATGATTTGGTAGAGGAGGGGAAGGGTTAATTCAGTGATAAATCTGGGAGAAGTGATCACCTGTGATTCTCTTTCAGGTTCCTGGACCTATTGCAGAGATAGAACTTTGGCGGGACCGTGCTTCTGTTCTCAGTGCTCTGTGTCAACAGCTCAAACAGCCGATGGTACAGAAGATCCTGGATGTCACGACTAAAGCAAATCCAGCCATTATTCACACCCTCAATGGAACCATTGCTGATCTATCTAAATACCACTCAGAGTCAGATAATAATGTATTTTTCCTTAAGACGCTGGAAAGACACTTTTTGGTGAGTAGCCTTGTTTCTTTACACCCAAGTTTTTCTGAACAATTGAACAAGTAGGCGTTGGTCCATTTGTTGTGGCATCTCCTCCTTTAGAGGCATCTTCTCCTTTAGACGTGTTGTTGTCCTTTGTAGAATTTGGCTGCTGGGTCAGATTTTACCATGATGAAGGAGACTATCCCTGAGATGATGGAGAGCTTACAGATCATCTGGCAAATCTCTCGCCACTACAACTCAAACGAACGTATGGTCCCTCTAATGGAGCGGATTGCGTGGCAGCTTTGTGAGCAAGTGTCTAGAGGACTTCATGTTCTGAAACTGTTCAAGTATGCATTAATGCTTTTCATTTTATGGTTGAAAACAGCTCAAAAGTAAAGTTTTGGTGCTAATTTGTGAAAACAATATAATCGTCTATTCAAATGGATTTGCTGTTTAAGTCTAACAAAACAAAACGCTGTGTGTTGAACAGAGTGAATAGGGAAGAGGCCTATTCCATGGTGCTTTGCGCTAAGAGTGTCCTGGAGCAGTGGAAGTCATCCTACTATGACGTGCGCGCTGCAATTGAAAAATCAGGCAGAGCACCTCGATGGGAATTTGATCATAAAAGACTGTTTGAGATCAGCGATTACATGGCGTCTGTCTGCCAGGATCTGTGTTATGTGTTTCAGGTCAGGCTATTTATATTTAGTGAAACTCCAAAAGTTACTGGCCACTTACACAAAAGCCATATTGTAAATTTAGAACTTTTGACAAAGCTCTTCTGGATTTGGGGTTTTACAGGTGCAGAAGGAATTCCACAACTTCTTTGACCCAGACATGAAAAGTAGGGAACAGATCAAGGAAATGTTGATCAGACTCGATGGTCTAGTTTCACTTTTTGAGGAGGTCGAGTTTGATCCTTTCAACATCTCAAAAAACGGCAACTGGAAAAAGGTCATGCAAGACTTTGACTCTGCACTTGGGGTAGGTCCAGGAAATGTATAACTAGACCAGTTAATATTCAGCATAATTGAATGAAGAAAGGTGGATTTTTTTTTTATCAAGCTTGTTTGTTTTCTCACTCAGGTTATCGATGAAGAAACGATTGAATTTGTCGATTTGGCTTTTAAAACTGTGCATTCGTCTGCTGCTGCTTTTGAAATGCTGCTGAAATTCCAACAAATCCCCTTCAGAAAGTCCATCAATGACCATTTGAAACGAAAGTTTGATGGATTCCTAATCCAGTATTGCAATGAGGTACTGTACAATCAAAATCTACAAAAGCTAGAAAAACTAAAATATGGGGATGAAAGTATTTTGCAGTATGCAGAGAGTAAGTATTTTTGTTGCTGCTACAGGTTGACAGAATTAATAAAATCTTTGATGCAGAGAAGAGCAAACCATATTTAGTAAAGTGTGAGACTCCTGTGGCAGGATCCATTACATGGGCCAGAACTCTTTTCTGCCAAATTAAACAACCCATGCTTTCCTTCCTGAAAGCAGCACAGATGCTTGGAAGTGAACAACAAAGCTACATGGTGAGTTGTCTTCACTCTGTTAAAGTTCCAATATGGGAAAACATTTATGGTTTTCACAGTTTTTCTGCTCAGGTCAAAATCAAGTATAAGGACACTGCACTGCGGATTAGGGAATATGAGACAAAGAAATATGAGGACTGGCTGAAAGAAATTGAAAACAGCTGGCCACTATTGAAACAGCCTCTGCTGACTATCAGAGAAAACCAAGACCTGGTATGGACCACTCACTGTTACTCATATCAACTTGTTTCCCTCGTGTTTTTTTTATCGGCCGTCAATTGTGCACATTCTCCCACTTAAAAAGATGAGAGAGGTCTGTAATTTTCATCATAGGTGTACCTCAACTATTAGACAAAATGAGAAAGAAAGTTCCAGAAAATCACATTGTCTGATTTTTAAAGAATTTATTTGCAAATTATGGTGGAAAATAAGTATTTGGTCTCCTACAAACAAGCAAGGCTCTCACAGACCTGTAACCTCTTAATGGCACCTGTTGGAACTCGGTATCAGTATAAAAGACACCTGTCCACAACCTCAAAGAGTCACATTCTAAACTTTACCATGGCCAAGACCAAAAAGCTGTCAAAGGACACCAAAACCTGCACCAGGCTGGAAAGTCTGAATGTGCAATAGGTAAGCAGCTTGGTGTGAAGAAACCAACTGTGAGAGCAATTTTTAGAAAGTTGAAGACAAGACCACTGATAATCTCCCACGATCAGGGCTCCACACAAGATCATACCCCATGTGGTCATTATGATCACAAGAACAGTGAGCAAAACTCCCAGAACTACACGGGGGACCCAGTGAATGACCAGCAGAGAGCTGGGACCAAAGTTACGAAGGCTACCAACAGTTAAACACTACGCCATCAGGGACTCAAATCCTGCAGTGCCAGACGTGTCCCTCTGCTTAAACCAGTACATGTGCAGGCCTGTTCTAAGTTTTCTAGAGAACTGTATTGCTACGAGCAAATGTAATGTTAATCTTGTTTGTTTTCGTAAGAATTAATGTTTAAATCTCATTGTTAGAAAAAATGGTACTGTCGCTTTAAGAGGGACTGGATCTCAGACACAGGAAGTTGCATAGGCTATAGAGTGAGGAAATCAGGAAGCAAGCACATGGCACAGAGTGGAGGTTGTTAGTCGAGTCAATCCAGCTGCATCTGCAAACGTCTTCTGCTTTTTGTTAGCATCGTAGGTATGTATTGAAAGTTAAATATATTCTTTGTCATATTAGTTCATTATTTTTGGGAAAATTATATTTTGTAAACATATATTTACACACTGGGAAATAACATTGCCAATTTGGGTTTATAAGGCGGATATATGTGTTAACCCCTTCACTGAAATAAGTCAACAGATAAATACATAATTCATGGCATGTTAAAAATATAAAATATGTAAACTAAAAGTACAAGTTAATGAGTACAGCTGATTTCATTGTTAAACAGTGATTTATTTGATTTCTGTTGAATGTGTTTGTTTAAGAGGAAACAGAACTGATTATAATTTGTATGTTTCAGTTTCACCTTCCTTGCTACGTCAATAAACCTGTGTACAAGGAGTCATCTGTCTGCAGAGTCTTGATGTTCAAGGAGGCGTTTATCTGACTGTCAAGTCATATAGAGCACGTATGATGAGGACAGCACAGTGAAACTACGGCTCTCAGTCCAGCGGGATAACGCAATGTAAGCTGAAAACAAGACTAAATCCCCACACATCATCAGTGGACAACAATTACTCTTCAAGATCGGTAAGACTACACCATGGCAGAGGAGGCGTCTTTAAAGACACGTTCACGAGCCTCATGTTCATCAGTACAATCAAGTGTTTCAGCAACTGGGTCTGCTGCAACAAAGGCAAGAGCAAAGGCTGAAGCTGCTAAGGCACGGCTTGCCTTTGTTGAAAAAGAAGCTAGTCTGCAGCTAGAAAAAGTAAAATTGGAGGCATCTTTAAAGAAACTTAAATATGAGGAAGAGTCAGCAGCAGCTATTGCTGAAGCAGAAGCCCTCGAAGCTGCAGCTGATATTAACAGTGAAAAAAGTGAAAAGCAGAGCTCTAAGTTATGCTTAGATTCTATTCCATTGGACTCTTCAGCACGCACAGAGCAATATGTTGTCAACCAAAATCGGATACGGGAAAATAACTCACAGCCATTTGTTGATCCAACAAAAACCGAACAGATGTCTAATTGTGTTCTGTCTGACCAACTTAAAGTATGCTGCACCCTTTCTTCCAAACTGCATTACTACTGCATCCCAATCACAACCCATTGCTCTAGATCCTCCTCCAGTTGGTCGCAAAGAAAGATTTGAGCATGCTAGGATGCAATACGGTAACTGTCGTGATTCCCAATATTGCAGACCTTCAAATACGACACCTTCCTGTCCACAACCTGCACTCACAAATAACGACAGCTCAAACATGAGTGACTTTGTACGATATTTAGCTCGTCGGGAGCTTGTGGCAACAGGTTTATTACAATTTAATGATAAACCACAGAACTACAGAGCCTGGAAACGTTCCTTTCTGTCCGCAACACAGGATTTAAACCTGTCACCGAGTGAAGAAATGGATCTTCTGCTGAAGTGGCTCGGCAAAGAATCAGCACAACATGTGGAACAGATAAGAGCGATACACATCAACTATCCACAAGCAGGACTGGATATGATATGGAACAGACTTGATGAAACCTATGGATCAGCTGAAGCTATAGAAAATGCGTTGTTCAAACGTATTGAAGACTTCCCAAAAATACCTAACAGGGATTCCTATAAGCTAACCAAACTGGGCGATCTTCTAATGGAACTTTCATCTGCCAAAACTGAGGGCAACTTACCTGGTCTGTCTTTCCTCGACACAGCTAGAGGAGTCAACCCAATCGTGCAAAAGCTACCGTTTCGCCTACAGGAGAGGTGGGCAACAGTCGGTGCAACCTACAAACATCTAAATGGGGTCACCTACCCTCCCTTTGCTTATTTTGTTGACTTTGTATGCCAGGAGGCTAGGATCGCCAGTGACCCATGTTTTAACTTCATCTCTCATACAGACGCAACACAGATGAGCAGACCGGCTCCAAGGTCGAACAAGTTTAAGGAAGTATATGTGCACAAGACAGAAATCTCTCCTCAAGCCTACACGTATACTGAAAAAAGATTAAGACCGGATGAATACGACAAAATGTGTCCTATACACAAGAAACCTCACCCTCTGCATAAATGTCGCACATTTAAAGAGAAACCCATCAAGGACCGTATGACATTTCTAAAAGAAAATAACATTTGTTACCGGTGTTGTTCGTCCTCCACACACATTGCCAGGAACTGCAAAATGAAGCTACAATGTGAAGAGTGTAAGAGCGAAAATCACCACACAGCACTGCACCAAGAACCCAGAAAGGGGGTGAACGCCTTACATGAGCATGGCGGGGAGGATGACGAACCAACAGAACAACCAAAGGTAAACTCAAAATGCACCGAAGTCTGTGGTAGCGAATGGACTGATCGTTCTTGCTCCAAAATATGCCTTGTAAAGGTGTACCCAGCTGGCCACAGAGACAAGGCTGTAAAGCTGTATGCCATACTGGATGAACAAAGCAATCGATCACTTGTGAGGTCACATTTTTTTGATGTCTTCAACGACCAGAGCCCAAGCGCTCCATATACACTGAGAACATGTGCTGGGGTTAAGGAGGCAGCTGGGAGAAGAGCTAGTGGCTATGAAGTGGAATCATTAGATGGAAGTGTGCGCATCCCACTACCAAGTCTCATAGAATGTAATGATATTCCTAACAACAGAGAGGAGATTCCCACACCAGAGGTGGCCTTTCACCATCCACACTTGGAGTCGTTGGCTTGTCTTATCCCTGACATCGACCCCCATGCCCAGATCATGTTGCTGCTTGGTCGAGACCTTATTAGAGTTCATAAGGTGCGCAAGCAGGTGAATGGCTCACACAACCTACCTTATGCTCAAAAACTCGACCTAGGGTGGGTTATTGTTGGAAATGTATGTCTAGGAAGTAACCACAAGCCACAATCAATCAACACCTTTTACACCAAAACCATGGAGACAGCACGCCCAACGCTCTTTGAACCTTGCCCCAATGTGTTCAGTGTTAAAGAGAAATATGACAACACACACATTCCGATACATCCTTCGTCCTTATCTGAGATTAAACCAGACTGTGAGGCGGACCATCTTGGTTATGTTGTCTTTAAAGAGACAAAGGAGGACAACCAGCTGGCTCCTTCAATCCAGGATTCCCTTTTTATGGAAATAATGAATGAAGGTCTGCATAAAGATGCAAATAATAGTTGGGTGGCGCCTTTACCCTTTAAACATCCACGACAGCGGCTGCCCAACAATAAGCCTCAGGCATTGAAACGACTCATCTCCCTGAAATACAACTTCAGAAGGAAGCCAGAAATGAAGGAACATTTCATCAACTTCATGGAGAAGATGTTCGAAAAAGGCCATGCAGAAGTAACCCCTCCGATAGTAGATGACAAAGAACAGTGGTACTTACCCATTTTTGGCGTGTACCATCCGAAGAAGCCCGGCCAAATTAGAGTTGTGTTTGACTCGAGTGCTCAGTACGAGGGTGTGTCACTCAATGATGTCCTGCTGTCTGGACCAGACCTGAACAACTCTCTGCTGGGTGTACTTCTGCGGTTTAGAAAGGAAGCAGTTGCCTTCACTGTCGATATAGAACAAATGTTCTACTGCTTCTATGTGAGAGAAGAAGACAGAAACTTCCTGCGTTTCCTGTGGTTCCAAGACAATGACCCTTCTAAAGATGTTGTGGATTGTCGTATGAATGTACATGTCTTTGGAAACAGACCTTCACCAGCAGTGGCTATTCATGGTCTCCATCAGTCTGTCCAAGATCGAGAGTCCAAGGTTGAGCCTGATGTCAAGAACTTTGTCACACGTGATTTTTACGTGGATGACGGTCTTAAATCCATGCCCTCCACCGAAACAGCAGTGAGTCTCCTGAAAAGGACTCAAGAGGTTCTTGCTAAGTCAAACCTCCGACTGCACAAGATAGCCTCAAACAAAAAAGAAGTTATGGAAGCCTTTCCGTCCACTGATCACGCTAATAGCCTCAAAGACCTTGATCTAGATGATGACTCACTGCCGCTGCAACGCAGTCTTGGACTCAACTGGGACCTCCAAGCAGACTGTTTTGTGTTCAATGTCTCAGACAATGTGAAACCATACACTCGGCGGGGTGTATTATCCACTGTTAACAGTCTTTACGATCCTCTTGGATTTGTGGCGCCAGTAACTATCCAAGGAAAGGCTATTCTGCGAGAACTAACCACTGAAAAAGGAGATTGGGACTCACCATTACCAAAAGATATGGAGCAAATCTGGGAGTCATGGAGAGCATCTTTATCACAACTGTCTGGGTTTTCTGTTCCCCGACTATACACACAAACATCGCCTTCAGAAGCTTACAGAAGAGAACTGCATGTCTTCTGTGACGCATCAATCAAGGCTATTGCTGCAGTAGCGTATCTAAGAGTCGTTGATGCACGTGGAAATTGTTGTGTTGGATTTGTGATGGGCAAAGCCAAACTCGCCCCTCGTCCTGAAATGACCACGCCAAGATTAGAACTTTGTGCAGCAGTTCTTGCAGTAGAACTGGCAGATTTAGTCTCTACAGAAATGGATCTCCAGCTCCATACTATGTCCTACCATTCAGACAGCAAAGTGGTCCTGGGCTACATTTATAACGAAAACAGGCGGTTCTACGTCTTTGTCAGCAACAGAGTACACCGCATTCGGAAATCATCCCTTCCAAACCAGTGGCACTATGTCCCAACAGACCAAAATCCTGCAGATCATGCTACACGTTCTGTTGTGGCAGGTCACCTAAAGAACACAAACTGGTTGAGTGGCCCAAAATTTCTGGTAAGTCCAGAACCAAGTATCAACAATGACACCTTTGATCTTGTGGACCCGGTTGCAGACCCAGATGTGAGGCCTTGGGTGTCTACCCTGTCTACCACAGTGTCTTCAAAAAACATTGGTAGTGAACGCTTCACCAAGTTCTCTGCATGGAACTCTCTCACTCAGACCATGGCTCGGCTGTTGCACATAGCAAAGATGTTCAGCACAGCGAAAAGGGAGGTCCGATCCTGCAAAGGCTGGCATTGCTGTAAGACAAAGGTAACTGTGAAGGAAATCGACCAAGCTGCAAACGTTATTGTGCGTACGGTGCAGGAGGAAATCTATGCTGAAGAGATCAAGTGCATTCAGAAGTCAGAAAGAATTCCTAAAGGCAGCCCTCTCTACAGACTGGACCCATTCATCGACAAAGATGGACTTCTCAGAGTTGGGGGCCGTCTCGTCCATTCCACTCTTGGGCAAGTCGAAAAGAATCCATTGATCGTCCCTGGGAAACACCATGTTGCAACCTTGATAATAAGACACCATCATGAACAAGTACACCATCAAGGCCGCCATTACACGGAAGGAGCTATTCGGACATCAGGATTTTGGATAATTGGCTGTAAAAGAAGGGTTAGCAGCATCATCAACCAGTGTGTCACCTGTAGACGACTAAGAGCTCCTTTGAGTGTCCAGAAGATGGCAAATCTTCCAACAGATCGTTTGACTACAGATCCTCCGTTCACAAATGTGGGCCTGGATGTGTTCGGGCCGTGGCACATCTGTTCACGTCGTGCAAGAGGTGGCCTGTTACACAGTAAAAGGTGGGCTGTAATATTTACGTGTATGAGTGTAAGAGCTGTTCACATCGAGGTCATCGAGTCACTTGACGCATCAAGCTTCATCAATGCATTGAGGCGTTTTCTTGCAGTGCGAGGGCCAGTCAAGCTCATACGTTCAGACCGTGGCACTAATTTCGTCGGAGCCTGCAAGGAGTTAAATATACCCTCAAACATTGACAACTCAGCGATCAACACTTACCTCTTGAAAGAGGGAATAACCTGGATCTTTAATCCTCCCCATGCTTCCCATCATGGTGGTACATGGGAGAGAATGATTGGCCTGGCAAGAAGAATACTTGACACCATGTTCCTTCAGCTAAAAGATAAACTTACCCATGAAGTGTTGGTGACCTTTATGGCAGAAGTAGCGGCTATCATCAACGCTAGGCCTCTGGTGCCAGTTACACATGACCCTGAAGATTTGTACATGCTCACTCCAGCCACTCTTCTTACTCAAAAGGTAAACGTCCTTCCAGCTCCTGTTGGTGACTTCGGAGTGTCTGACCTCTACAAGTCTCAGTGGCGCCAGGTACAACACTTGTCCAACACTTTCTGGGACAGATGGAAAAAGCAGTATCTGCCCACACTTCAGCCACGCAGGAAATGGCAGTCTACACAACCTAACGTGACAGAAGGAAGTATTGTTCTTTTAAGAAATAACGACCTGGCAAGGAACGAATGGCCCACTGGACTGATAACGAAGACTTTTCCAGGTGAAGATGGAAAAGTGCGGGAAGTTGAAGTGAAGATTGTAAAACCAGGAGGGACTGCACTCTATCGTAGACCTATTACAGAGATAGTAGTTCTCCTTCCGAAAGAGGATTAGTCATACAAACTGTTGAAGTTGTTAGTGACGTGTATACACGCCAGGCGGGGAGTGTATTGCTACGAGCAAATGTAATGTTAATCTTGTTTGTTTTCGTAAGAATTAATGTTTAAATCTCATTGTTAGAAAAAATGGTACTGTCGCTTTAAGAGGGACTGGATCTCAGACACAGGAAGTTGCATAGGCTATAGAGTGAGGAAATCAGGAAGCAAGCACATGGCACAGAGTGGAGGTTGTTAGTCGAGTCAATCCAGCTGCATCTGCAAACGTCTTCTGCTTTTTGTTAGCATCGTAGGTATGTATTGAAAGTTAAATATATTCTTTGTCATATTAGTTCATTATTTTTGGGAAAATTATATTTTGTAAACATATATTTACACACTGGGAAATAACATTGCCAATTTGGGTTTATAAGGCGGATATATGTGTTAACCCCTTCACTGAAATAAGTCAACAGATAAATACATAATTCATGGCATGTTAAAAATATAAAATATGTAAACTAAAAGTACAAGTTAATGAGTACAGCTGATTTCATTGTTAAACAGTGATTTATTTGATTTCTGTTGAATGTGTTTGTTTAAGAGGAAACAGAACTGATTATAATTTGTATGTTTCAGTTTCACCTTCCTTGCTACGTCAATAAACCTGTGTACAAGGAGTCATCTGTCTGCAGAGTCTTGATGTTCAAGGAGGCGTTTATCTGACTGTCAAGTCATATAGAGCACGTATGATGAGGACAGCACAAGAACATTTGAAGGAACCAGGAGAGTATTGGGAGAATGTCAAATGGTCAGATGGAACCAAAATAGAACTTTATAGTAAAAACTCTACTCGTCTTGTTTGGTGGAAAAAGAATGCTCAGTTGTATCCAAAGAGCATCATATCTGCTGTAAAGCATGGGGGTGGAAACATCATGCTTTGGGTGTGCTTTTCTGCTAAGGGACCAGGATGAGTGATCTGTGTAAAGGAAAGAATGAATGGGGCAATGCATCGTCAGATTTTGAGTGAAAACCTCCATCCATCAGCAAGGGCATTGAAGATGAAACGTGGCTGAGTCTTTCAGCATGACGATGATCCTAAACACACTGCCTAGCTAATGAAGGACTGCCTTCATAATGGGGATGTAAGAAATTATCGATATGGCATTGTATTGTGATATTTTTTTTCTGCGATATTATAGCAATATTCAAAAGCCGTGTATCAAAAATATTGATATCAGAGTATATCATGATATTTTTTACTGCAATATTACATTGATATTCAAAAGCCTTGTATCTAATTTTTGGAACAATTTCCTTGCAAACTTTTGTGTATTTTCTTTTCTTTTGGTGCAGTTCAAATGCCAACCGCTGGTTGGCAGCAGTGTGCAGTGGGTTTTGTTTCCACCATTGAAATGTAAATCCCTTAATGGAATTTTGTTATGGACCAAACACTTATCTTCCACTGTCATTTGCAAATAAAGTCTTTAAGATTAAGACAGTGGGATTTTCTGGATTATTTGTTCTTCTTTTTGTCTCTCATAATCGAGGTACACCTATGATGAAAGTTACAGGGCTCATCTTGTTAAGTGGGAGAACGTGCATAATCAGTGGCTGACTAAATATTTTTTTGTCCCACTGTATATAAATATCCTAAAACCTCTTTTTGTTATTTAAAGAAAGTTCCAAGACCAGAACAAAGCAAGAAAAGGAACGTGCACTACATAGTAAACTTTCCTCCACAATTAAGGAAAATGATTTCTGAGATAAAGCCCCTCATGTTACTGGACTACTCTGTTCCGAAAAAGGCAGAAGACTTGGCTATGTTGGAACACAGTCTCCTGAGGTGAGTACACTTCCTAAAGCACAGTGTATACTAAATGTTAAACCGTTTATGGTGTCTCTGCTTTCTGCTGCTTTAACCTCATCTTTAGGTCTGCTGATGATCTGAACAACCTTATCGAAGACTTTCACTCATTGGTGGACAGCCTGCGTGAGGAGCATCTCGACATGCTGCTGCCACATATAGAAGTGGTCAAAAAAGAGATGGAATTTGGATTGAAGAAGCTCAACTGGTGTTGCTCAGGTTTGTTACCTTCACAGGATAAGCTATTTGAAGACCATGCAGTGGTTACATTATTCTTTCTGTTAGATTAAAGCACAAACGGTGTTTGGTTTTAGGGATACCTGAGTTCATCAGTCGAGGTGTCCAGGCTGTTTCTAAATTCAAGTCCATCGTCAACCAGATTCACAACAACGAGCGTGCAATTGATTCCAAGCTACAGTCGATAACTCTGTCCAACTTGCTGAAACTGCCAGTATCTGATAAATCTAGAGACTTGCCAGGTAACACGAAATTAAGGAGATATTTACTGGTTCAAAAAATGAAAATCTACCAGTGTAAAATCTTTTTTTTTAAGATATCAAGGACTTCTGTGACTGCATTGAGGGAGAGCAAACCAAGACTCTGAATATTCTCACTAAGAATTATTCTGACATCAGTTTCCTCATCAATGAGACAGAATATGTGATTATGAAAACCAGAAGTGGCAAAGCCAAATGCATGGCTAGTTACTATAAATACTGGGAGTGCAAAGTGTTTGATTCCCTGATAGAGATGCTCCAGAGGTAATCAAATTATGATTTACCCTTGTATGTTTTAGTGTTAAAAACACATTCACACATTTGTTTGTCCTTTTGTGACCTTAAGGAGCATTCAGACGTTCACCAAGGTGCTGATGGGAAACACAGCTGTTTTCAAAGCAAACGTCGTCCTATCTACTGGTATTGTGTTAGAGCCACGAAGTGACGTCATCAACAGGATGATCACGGGGTGCATTGACATGTGTGTAGAGAGCACCAAGGTGAGCTCCTCTGGTGATATTTCTGGAAAGTATGTGCATCTAGCATCAAACTAGTGACTTGATCAGGCACATAATTTTGATTTCAGCGTTTTCCACGTTGGATGCATGGGACCTGCATCAACTGCCCCATACAACTTGTGAATGATGAAGAGGGGTCTAAGAAATTCACATTCTTCTGTGATGTGTCTAAGCATCCTCAGATAAAGCTAAGTCATTTAATGGTGTCCCAAAAGATTGAGGAGCTGCTCCTCTCAGTGAGTCGCAACTTTGAGTACTGGAAACGCTACCAGTTTCTTTGGGAAAAGGACAGATGTCTTGTGACTGGAGAGTTTGCAGCCAAAAATCCATCCTATGCCAAGTATGATGATGAGATGAACGTCTTTGCTATGGCTAAGCAAGATGTGAATCTGGAGCCTCGCTGCAAGACGGAGAGCATGATCCATCTGAACCTATCGCCACTGCTTAACACACTACAGGTGATCGCAGAGTCCTGGATCGATTCACTTGGTTATTTGCTCAACAAATCTGCCAAAAAGAATCTCTTCAACTTTAGAGATGAACTCACGGTACTGAATCATGCTCCTCAGTCAGATGTTCCCAAGCTGAATGTTTCTGGATTTTTAACTTAATATTTGTCTTACACAACAGCAACTCTCTAAAAAGCTGAAGCAAAGCCCAGACACTGTGAACGACCTGAAGTCTGTTCTCAGCACCATCTCAGACATCAGGTACATGTCTGTAGACATGGAAATAAGAATCACTGATATCCAGGAGAGCTACAGAACCCTGGCCATCTATAAAGCTGAGGTACTGTGTTCAATTTGAAGTTGTTACTCAGAGATTGTATTTCTCACCCAGGTAATACCACAGTTCTGTGTGTGCCCTAGGTTGGAGAAGATGAAAAAGAGCTGGTGGCCATTATTGACCAGACATGGAGTGACCTTTACACAGAATCTAGACAAGTGGATCATAGTCTGAAAGATGTCAAGAAGTCATTTGCTGTGGTACAGTTTCAACAAGTCATTCATTAATATCTGAACTGAAAAGAATGTTTCAGAAATACACAGAGCCAACACATCTTTTTGGTTTCTGTTAAGATTACCAAAGAGAAGGTTGAAGAGTTCAGACAGAACGTGTCCATCTTTGCTGAAAGCTTCAACCTGCATGGTCCTGGAGCTGTGGGAGAAGATTTGGATAAAGGTGCCTAAATCAAAACCAGTAAAGGAATGTTTACATGTGAAATGCTGACATTTTCATTGTTGTTGTTTTTTTCCAGGACTGAGCATCATGGACAAATATGAAAAAGACCTTGCCAAGATTGTGGCTGAATGGGAAGAGCTGACTAATGCTGAAAAGCTGTTGGACCTGCCTGTCACTGTGTGCCCAGAGGTCACCAGGATTCAGAAAGACATGAGCGGCTTAAGACAGGCTTATAATGTGTATGAAGCACAGAAGGTGGGAGAATGTTTGAATTTTCCCATCCTCAATTGATTCCACACTTTCTTGCTTGAGTTGGTTCTTTTTTACAGGAAGCAAAAGCAAGATGGTCTGAAACACTGTGGGTAGATTTGGACATCCAGATGTTACAGGACAACATAGAAGGCTTCATCAAAAGCCTGAGACAGCTGCCCAAAGATGTGAGGGCTTTACCTGTTGCTTTTTTTCTGGACGCGAGTATGAACGAGTTCAGAGAATCACTGGCTCTTCTGCTAGACTTGAAGCACGAGGCACTCAGAGACAGGTTTGTCTGGAAAATGAAGAGTTTGAGTTCATTTCTTTTTTAAGGCAAATTTTTATGCCAATTAATTTATTTCACATCATGAGAACATTTGTTGGTTTTTCTTTTATCACGTGGTTACTTTATTATTGTTGTTTTAATTTTATTTTAGGCACTGGGAGGAGCTGATGGAAAGGACTGGCACCAGCTTTGAGATAAACCCTGACAGCTTTACTCTGGAGAACATGCTTGCTATGGAACTGCATAAATATGCAAACGTCATCAGTGACATTGTCACATCTGCTATAAAAGAGCTGAACATCGAGACACAGTAAAAAAATGACTGTGGAATTTACATAAAAACTTTGTAAATGCACAACAGAAATGTTATGTAAACTGGAAAACATGTATTTTCTGTTGTAATCACATTAAATGTTTGGAAATGATTAAACAATATGTTTATGTTATATTTACATTACCATTATGTGAAAATAACTATATCTATTTGTTAAAACAACAAATAAAGGTAAAAAATAAAGCAAAACAATGTAATCCTTTTAACACAACAATTCTGGCAAGATTACATTAAAATATTGTAAAAAACTTTATTTTTGGCCTATTATTTTTAAAATACAATAACAGAAATATGTAAGTCACTTTACAAATTTAAGCTGTACCTATAATTGATTAAATTGTGCCTATTTCCGGTAATAGAATTGTTTTCAGTAAAAAATTAATCAGCATCATGAGAAGTTATCAGCTGCTGGGGTCCTAAGGTAGTGAGATCCTCTCCCACTGGTCAACATTATGATCATGTCACAGAAAATAATAATAATAATAATAATAATGCATAGGTGGATTTATAAAGCACTTTTAACAACTACTAAAGAATGCTGTTCAAATAAGGAGACAACCAGACAAAAACAAAATATAAATGAAATGTTATATATATAATTTTTTTGCTAACCATAACATTTGCATGCATAATGTTAAATTTAGTTTTAAATGGTGATCTACAACTTTTCCTTCTGGTTTTCTGTTTATTGATGAAAAATAAATACTAAAATGAGCACAGTGTGACTATCACAGGCTAAACAAC